TAGTTACTCTTGAAATCGCATATTTAATTAGTTTCCCTTGACAATGGCGTCAAGATGTCGCCGAAACGTCGGATTTGTCTATCGTTAGTTTTTGCCTGTATATATTATTATTATAATAATAATAATAATAATAATAATAATAATTACGGTTTATTAGCATTTCACTAAGCGTGGCTCTTCTATGCTAAGACCTGCATACAGTAATAAAGAAATTGAATCCAGCTATATTAAAAATATTTACAAACTTGAATAAAGAAAACGAAAACAAGTCTCAGAATTACTCAAATTCGGCATTCGCAGAGGAAAAATAAAGGCTTTTAGATTTCCGCAGGAGTCCCTCAGTGTCAGTGGTGTTTTTAATGTCCTTAGGCAAGCTGTTAAACAAGCGCGCTGCGCAGTCCTAAAACGTGCCAGGGAACTGAGGTGCTACCATTACGCGCTATAATAAGATGCCCTTAAAGCACTTTTCACTACAGAATACCTCATCGCCGATCTTTGTATTCTTGACGTCTTTGAGATCGAGAAGCTGTAAAACCTGTTAAAGGGAAGAAAGTGTATTTGTTGAAAATGAAAAATTGCCAATAATGCACTATTTGGCACAGTGCCATAATCAGCGTATAACAAAGACTGCTTGTGTACCATCATTCAGGACTGAACAGCGTCCTAACTAAGTACTCACATGCACATTAAACACCGTCAAAAGCTTTATCTATATTGTTACCTCCTGAATTCGTCTCCTCTTTTCTTCATTTGAAATCGTGGACGGGAGCCTGAGATTTGCTTGATAAATTAACACTTCATTTACCGTTAGCGATCTGTGCATCACATCTTCCTGGAGAGTAAATTGACCAGTTTGGTGACCAAAAGGCAATAAAGTGAGCTTATAGACCGCATTGCTTCTGGTTATTGTGTGTCGTGCCCGAAATCTGGGTCAGGGATCGATTAGACAAACGTGATACAGACTTCAATACACTGTACGTTCTTGTGGTGTATTTCACTCAAAACCCCAAATTGAGTCGGTGATATTGTGGCGAATTCTGTTTAAAGCTCTTCCTCAGTCTTATACCAAACTGCAAATTTATTTTAAAAAGTAATTTGCCCACTTGGTAGGAAATAAACGTTCTCTTGCTGCCCATATCTAACGACCCAAGAAGACTTTTAAGTGAATGCGATCATCGCTTTATGTTTTTTGAACCAAATGACAACTTATTTCATTTGTTTTTTATTATCATTATTAGAAAGAAGAATGGAACTTTGCTCCTCCCACCGCAGCTCAATTCAAGCAATAAGCAGATCGCGTGTCACAAAAAACAACCAACATTTCACTTACATTTTCTCCGAATAACTCACTTCCACAACCTTCTTGCAACAGTAACTTTATAGCTATACTAGGGCAGTTAAAATAGCAGTCATAGAACAAAGCACAAACCTGTGGGACAAATCCAGTAATGTTTCTATAAACACCCAAGTCGTTGACTTCTTTGTCGTTAATGTAAAGACGACCACCACGTTTCTGAGAACAAGGAAATAGCATTACTTCTCCTACATACATACATACATTACTTTATTTACCTTCGGATTTCAGAGTAGCTTATGCAGCTAATATCTCCGAGCATTTAACCATCAGATGAGAGATAGACCACCACACCGGGAACTACGTCTCCTACTCTTTTCGATCAGTGCGTGGGTTCATGACGTCTCACAGAATTAATTATGAAGAGTTGTGAGACGGGGCCTACGGTTTATCGTCCTTATCCGAGAAGACTAGAAAGTCTAACAATTTACAGATGTCATTACAAAGGCAGCACTTTCTCCTCAATGTAAATGGCCCGAACTCAACAGCTGGCAAAATAAATTGTTTGAAAATACAGTCCAAAGAATTCAAATCATAAGCTCTATTATCATTCGATGCATTTTTGTCGTCATTGTCATTCGCCGAGAGCCCACCACGTGACCTGGACATAACTGCCTACAAATAATGATCTGGTCATGCGTAGTACGGTCTAAATGTGTTTTGCTGTAAATCATTATTATTTTTTTATTTCTGTTTATTTGCCTTTTTACCCAATATAGTAATTATTTATATATGTTTCAATGTATGGCGAGGTGACCTCCAGAAACCATCAGGCTTTTAATTGAGGCCACCTCGTACGTAAAAATACGGTTACATAGATAGTGCTACAAGGTGCGGCTTTGCCAGTTAAGTAATTATTTTATTAAAAACTCTAGCAGTTTTTTCTTAAAATTGGGAAAACTTGACAAAGAAGTGCTTGTAACAGGAAGGGAATTCCAGATCTTCGGACCTCGGTAAAGAATTGTGAATTTTTTTTCCGATTAGTCCGGCAGTGATGCACGCGATAATTATTGGCTGTTCTGGTGCTATAGCCATGAATTTGACTGTTTGTAAAAAACAAGTTGAAAAACAAGGGAGGCAACAGGTTGTTATGATAACAGTACATAAATTTAGCTATTTGAAACGTGTTTATTTGATAAATGCCTAAAATTCTTAATTTGGAGAATAAAGGAGCAGCATGTGCTCTATAATCTGAATTCAGTGGCGGATCTAGGGGAGGGGCCCGGGGGATCCGCCCCCCCCCCCCTTTCCCTTATTTTGGGTAAAAGAAGAAGAAATAACAGAAGGAAGAAAAGCCGGCAGGGCAAGTAAAACAAAACCGGGGGCCCCTCTTAGCTCAATGTATGGATCCGCCACTGGTAATAGCTCGCACAGCCCGTTTTTGCAAACAATCATATTCTGCTTCCGCGCAGATCAATGCAAGGTTTTGATCTGCTCGCCACTGACAAATCCCGATATTTTGGTTCTATTACTGGAGGGTTTCCGGGCGAGGGGAGAGAAAGTAACAGAAAAGATTGGTATGGGAAGGAGTCTTGTGTTTCAAAACTGGGTTTCCGTTTGAAAAATTTCAAGTTTAAATAAGAATACCTCATGGCGACTGGTCTTCGACACAAAATCAATACAATAAAGAAAACGAACAACACCATACAACCATCGTCGATCTTACCCCATAATATGCCTTTCCACACAGCGTGTTAAGTAGGGTCGTTTTCCCGGATCCCGAGGGACCCATGACAGCGGTTACTTCCCCAGGAAGCAACTGACCCGTGACGCCTTGAAGAACATCCTTCTTTGTCTGTCGAATATAATTACACATAAGGCCACTAAAGGATAGGTCCGTATTAGTGTGCGAACAACTTGTAAAGTTGTAACCTAAAGGCTAAAGAAAAAAGATAGGGACTTTAAGCAATGACGACGGCGACGCCGGGGACCACGTCCAGTAAAATTTAGTTTTATATTTTATCTTCGAATTTCGCAGTTGTATAGATTTGTTCGGTGCACTTATCTGTCTCAGAACTTACTCAAGCTAAATGTGTAATGCCAGCGTTGAATTCCAAATTAAAATACGACAAATTAACCGCTGCCGTTTGCATTCTCCAAAATACGTAGATCTAGAACTTGGTCGTTTCACGTTCTTGTTTTGCAGGGGACGGCTAAGAAATGTACCAAGAATTATAACGCACGTGTACAGCCATTGTTCTACTCATTAAATCTTTTGTTTGGTGGCGTTCTCGTTGCCATTGCCGTCGTGGTTTGCTTAAGGTCCCTATCGTAGTGTGTACTACGACTTGTTGGGCCGATTTACCCAAATTTGACCAAAAAAGGTGCACGTGAATAAAACTCAGATAAATACTGATCATTCTGTTGAAAACCAAAAGATTTACAAATCTGTCCGATTTTCATGCAAGCAAATACATCTAATCGACAATTGTCGCGTGTAACTTGGCTTGCTCGAATGAGCGAGTTAATACAGCACACAAATCGTAGTGCGTAAATTAGACGTAACACACCGCTACAACGTAAAATCTAAATATTATGTCAGCACTTTTCAAGACCCAAAACAATTAACGTAAATAAGATATCTCCCTTGATAGCAAAGATCCGGAGTAAACATTCATGTAGGGACCCTAACTTCCAATGTCCTAGGGACCTTAACTTCCTAGGACTTGGGGACCATCACTTCCAAGGACCTAGGGACCCTAACTTCCTGGGACCTCGGGACCCTAACGTCTTAGGACCAAGCGACCCTCACTTCTTACGATCTGGGGACCCTAACGTCCTAGGACTTAGAAACCCTTACATTCTTGGAACTAGGGACCTTAGCTTCCCCACTGCTGCCAGCAGAATTTTACCTTCTTGAGAACGAGGCTGAGATTTTCAAAGCGGATGGTAATGGTTTGCTTCTTAGGCGACGCTCCTTCTCGATATTTTTCCACCATAGTTAAAAACGAAGCCATGCGCTTTAATTTGTCTTGAATTTTGAATTTTGGTTTCTTAATCTCATGACATCGCTGTACCACATGACGTTGAAACAGAAGCGTGAGTCGTTCCTCGTGGTTAAAACAGTACATAAGCAACAACATCAGCCCCAGAATTACTAAGATTAACACGATGCCAGCCACGGCACTCTCTGGAGCTGAAGAACCCTTCTTGCATATAGAAAGAAACTGAAAAATAACAGCGGTACATTGCATATTAATACATGAAATTATGTCATTGAACTAACGTGAGTTCCACATTGAGGAAATATTGGTCGAGTTCTTGGTGCAAGTTTATGGACCGAACAACAGGCGAGGTCCAAAAGATTGCGAAAAAAGAACGCGACTTATATTCGCAAAAACGGACCACTAGCTCAATAAAGTATTTATTATATATAAGAGCTCTAATAAAACTCTGCTCATAGATTAATACGTACTTTCGATCCATTCGCGCGCTAAAATTAAGGATTTATCTTCGTTTTTGGGTCGCTCTAAAGAAGTTGATCAAACTGCAATTTACTGCCAAATAGGAACGTAAAGAGTTTCCACTCAACAATGTTTCGGGGAATGTTCATCATCGCTATTTATACACCACTGAACAAATGCTTCTGGTCATAATAGTAGAACAGTGATTGCTGATGATCACCAACGGTTTGTGCAACCACTAAACTTCTACAGCTTCGACGACTCAAACTCTTCAGGCTAGTATTTTAAGAGTCTCAAATGACCAGTCTCTTCAGAGACAAGTAGACCAGTAGCTAACCTCTATTTAACGAGAAAATTGTGTCATTTTTTTCGCAGTTCAATCAGACATCTTCCCGTTTTAACACCACACGCCTTTACGCTAGAGGTGATAAATCCGTATACAATGGAATTCCGAGTTTTCGAATCAACTAGGGGAATGTTAATTGGTCAGACAAAATAGGTGGTTGGAAAACTCGAGCGTAAAGTCCGTAGGACGGAGAACTATTGGGATTAGAATATTGGGAAAGGAACGTCAAGTAAGCGAAATGCTAGTTCCTGATCGAAAATCTGGCCCTAAGACGTCAATGTTTTTGTCTGTTGGACACAACATGACAGCATACTAAAAAACCGTAACAGAAATTTGTTATCTTTTTGGTATTTATAGAGCTTTGCCATTTGCACATTCTGTGGGGGTAAAAGAATGTACTTTTTTGATCGCAGTATCCAAAACAAACATGGCGTCATGTGTCGTGGTTTTCCACTAGACAATAAAATTCTTTAAAGAGTTCGAAATGGTAAGCTATAAGCATCAAGAAGACTCGCCCGATGGTACTGTAAAGAAGAAATAATGGCTTAGAAGCAATGATATCTTCCTTCGAGTTGCAAGAAAGTCTGAATCAAAGATCTTCCTGAATACAAGAAAACCAAATCTGCGCTACGGAACACTGCGGGCAAGTATAAAATGGACTTTCTCGTCTACGGTATGGAAATATCGCTAGCTCAACCAAATGTATCGCTTATTGAATTGGCGTTCTCTTCTAGAGGAATTGTTTCGGTTTTTTACGTAAATTTCTACGTTCTCAACAATGGACAACAAAACGCATTTGGATAGCAATACGAGATTGCTTTTGGAGAACGCTTATTGATATATACAAGTCACTATTTTTCATGAACACGATCTTTATGTCGTTCACCTATTTATTATTAAGTAGCGTTATAGTTATTAGCCTTACTGCTGCCGTTCAGCGAAGCTTGTTGACTTTACACTTTCCGTTCGGAACCGCTCGTTTACAAACGGAGCCAAAATTGTCTCAAACGACCCAAAAAACCGAGGATTCCAAAATCGGGATTCCACTGTGAATGTCTTGACCCACTTTATTCAAGAGAGAGGTTGATCTAGTACAAATTAAATACGGAGTACAAATTAAATACGGCCATTGTATCCATCATTGGCCAATCATGTGTCAGTTTTTCTCAAGACATAAGTAATCATTAAGTAGACCGAGCACAAAATGAGGTACCAAAGAGAATCGTTTACCGGGCAATTTTGCGGCTCTACAGTTCCATTCCGACAGAAATGTCCTCCAGGGCACGTCTTCTTGATGGTGACCTTCTCGCAATAACTTCCTCTTGGACAGGAGACTGGTTCCTTGGCTCCAGGACATATGAACTTTGCAGGCGAATGGGATGTATCAAACAGAGGGATGGACTGGGAAGGACTGCAGCATTTTCCACTATCACGACATAATTCTGGTGACTTTTTCTATAAGATATAGTCAAAGTTCAAAACAATGTTTTAAAACTGCATTAGTGATTTGGAAAGCTGACATATAGAAAGTTAGCTACTACATAGACACACTCGCGACCTACAATTTCACAACGGACAAACGCTCGCACCACCAGCATTCCACATACACTAGGGTACTTGATTTACCTTCATCAAGTTAAGACACAACCTGGTTAATACATAACCTGGTCTTTCACCTGCTGCTACCAAACCACAAAGGCTTCCCTAGAAAAAAAATTCCATTTCCTAGCGCGTTGCTGCGGCGGTCGTGATGTACATTTCAGGTGCTAAGTTTAAAGAACACTAATATTAAAGAACTGGAATAACTCTAGAGATATTTTTGATTGAATGTTGTACTGTTTTAGTGGGGCCACTTATTTTTTACTTCATAGGCATTTTAAGGGAATACAACAAGGATTGGTCAAATGACTTACTGTGGAGTCGACCAGTTTATCCTTGACACAGTATGCTCCCAACGGACATGGTATAATACAGGTTCGGTCCTGGCCACAGTAAAACCCTGCAAACAGCGTGAAAGTTAACATTTCTTCAACATGTCCAGACTTTTTCTCCTTCCACAAAATATTACACAGGGAAAACAAGACAGAAATTCCATACGATTAGCGTCTTCCCAAGAACACAACACAATGGTCCTGTACAAGGCTTAACCGGAGTCGCTCAATCCCCACTCCTGTGCACTATCTATAAGGTCACCGCCCCTCCCACAATCTCATCGAATTCTCACTCACAATATTGGAACAAAAGCCGAAGAGTAGCCTTACCATCTGGACACGGCTCAACTTGTTTTGTCTCACTGTTGAGGTAAAATCCCGCTTCACAAGCCGTTGAATTCTCCGGTTTCATACAGAATGGTTTTACGCGAACACCAGACTGGGGTTTGAGAGGACGTATAGTAGCCGATGAGTTACACGGTTTAGTGAGTGGAGGTGGGCAGCAGGAGGGAAGGAACTTTGTAGGACAACAAGACGACGGGGCTTTGGTGAAAACATCTGCAAACCAAAGCGATGGATAACTTAATAACTGTTACATCTATGTCTCCTTTTAAGGCAGTTCTGCCGCATAAAACGGCGCCATACTGTAAACGCGGAAGCCATCTTTAGGTCTCCAGCATGCCAAATGACCTGCTCAATTGGGATAAGCTAAAAACTAAACTTAGCACTGAGGAAGGGTTACACCCGAAACGTCTGCTATAAAATTTGAATATATTTTGGCACTGAATTATTACTATTTATAACTTTTAAGCTAATGCATACAGCATGATGGCACCTATGCCGTTCGCCATCATCACTTCTCGGTTTTCTCGCTCGTGGAAGACAAGTACAACTATGTGAGGTAATACAGAGAGCCGTCCGGAGGTAAAATGCAAACTAAGGGTAAATTGTAATCGTGATAAATTAACTGTTATATGGTCACTAGCTATTGAAATGTGGATGGCGTGGAGTATTCGCCATCTCAGCGAGTGATTTCAGATCAAGCGAGAAAGCAAGAAGAAATAACGAGCTTTTTATTGAGAATTACGCGATCCAGTGAAGGTGATGGCTAGCGAACTACTGCTCTGGATGTTACATTTTTTTAACGGATAGCGGCTAGATTAAGTGTACTTCAGTATACACCCTGGTGGAGTTAGAATTTAGAACTGTTCGTTTTCAAGGAGGAACGAAAACTGATTTACTCGTAGGAAAATAACCTGGAGCAAGGCGAGAACCGAGAACAAATTCAACCCACTTATGACCAGGCCTACCGTCCACACTAATCTGGAGAAATTTCCAAACGGAGCTTTTCGAAAACGCCCTTTAAACCGGAGAGATTCAAGAACACCGGCCTTGTGTTTTAGTGTGGTTGGAAAACATTTCGAGAAAAGTGCTTTTTTTGAAAACGATGACGTCACGATAATCACGTGATTTCCCTGCCTGAGTCTTCCTCAAACACAACTGAATCATCAGACCCTCATTTGGCGTATGCTTAAGAGTGCACTCAAGCTTTTACTGCCGGTGACAATCTCGCTCCCAGAGTCTTCGTTCCCCTTGACCAGCGGTCGGAAAACGAGAGCTCTGGGAGCAACCATTTCAGGCGTACGCCATAGATGCAGATTGTGCAGTGAAACCGGACGGGCAAAATTCGGTTATTTGAAAATGGTTGCTCCCAGAGCTCTCGTTTTCCGACCGCTGGTCAAGGGGCACGAAGACTCTGGGAACGAAATTGCGCCGGTGATTGCTGCGCTTTCAAATTTCGGCGTAGTGTGGACGCAGATCAGTAATATTTTATCTGTTTCCTAGTGTGGACGGAAAAAACATTTGATGCGTGCTCAGAGTGAAAACGTCGTTTTCAAATTTCTTCGGTGTAGTGTGGACGGAAAACATTTGATGTTTACCGTTTTCAAATTTCTCGTATTTTTATTTGGAATTGAACGCTGGCATTACTTATTTAGTTCGAGCAAGTTCTGAGACCGATCGATAGACGCACTGAATTGATCTAGACAATAGGTCTTTTGCAACAGTTGGTCGCACGACCGATATTTCTAAACTTTTGGCTACAGCTAAATGAAGTTCAGAACTGGAAAGAGCATGTTTTAATTAGCCAGAAAACCAATTTCCAGACCTATGCCACGTAAGGGGTGAGGTTTAGTGACGAGTACAGTCGAACCTCCACCAACGGTCACTTCTCTACAGCGGCCACATTTTTGTCCCGGTTCATACATTCACTCTTATTTTAACCTGTCCACGACGGGAACGGCCACTAAAGCACGTCTCAACTGCCAAAATAACCTCTCTATATCGGCCGTTTAATCAAAGACTGATGAACGACGAAACATGATCCATACCACACGCGCTGGCCTCTGTTTCCTGTATTTGGTTTCTGTTTTATCGATGAATATTGATTTTGTTAAATCCCCGAAAAAATCCAAGTGCCATATTGCACCCCCACCTCCCCGTAACGGCCACCTCACAACAGCCACTTTCATCTGTCCCCAAGGTGGCCGTTGTGGAAAGGTTCGACTCTATTGCAAAAATAAGAAGGCTTTGTATGGAAGCGAGGAAGCCTTGCCCTTAAGAAACCTTTTCCGTTTATTTATCACTGCAAAAAGAAGCTGCCAGTATGTAACTACTGAAGATAGAAAGTGGGGTAAAATAAGAGAATGAATAGAAAATTTTAGACTCTTTTAATCAAAAGGAAAATATTTTTTGGCAATTTGAAGACTTCCAAAATGACAAGGATCTGTATAGAAATCGACTGGAGCGTGACTGGAGGGCAAGCTTATTTGTTGTTCTTTCCATTTCTGATAACAATATGCATTAAGCACATCAAGTGACTATCTGTTGCCAAAGGCCTATTGCGACCTATTGCCGGCGAAATTCGAATTAAGCAATAGAGCTTTTTTTCCGGGTTTGCATAACTTTCGGGTATTCTCCCAGTCCCCGAGTGACCAATAAGAGAGCGCGTAGTAGCTCAGTTCTTTTAAAAGGCTAAATATTATGGGCGCGATGCATTCAACCAAAATTCCCGGGCTGAGGTTCGAAAATTTATTGGGGGTAAATGGATCGCGACGGGTCCTGAAGGTCTCGTTCCATTCCACTCGCAAAAAGAGTTTCGCGCTCATTTAAAATGGCAGATTTGGATCTCTGCTGCTCGTGTTAGAGTTAGATGGCGACTTCGACTTTATCAATGATATTATACGAGCAGTTTCATGTGTAGAAATTTAACCCTTGTAACGAGTTATTTGAGTAGACCGTTCCCAGATATTTGCCGGTTGAATTCAAAGATCTTCAAACACCACTTTTCGAATAACGAAAAGATCATGCGAAATTCTCTCGGGAAATAGACCGTTTTTAACAGCTAAAACATACACCGCGTAACAGAGCTATATACGTAACTGTTGTTACTGTTCATGGATGTACGAACAACACCGATAAATCCGTTGTTAACAATCCACAAAGGCTGCAATGATAAGTGTTTTCCTCCATGTTGAACATGGAAAGTACCGAACAGCGAGGTACTGGGATTGAGAATGAATCGGAATGGTCAAATGGAACGGTCCATTGCGATCGTACCGGTCCAACCGAGAAAAGTGGTCCACCTCGAAAGGTGGACCGGCTTTTTCGAAACTTTTCTGGTTGGACCGAGCCGATCCATTCAGTTTTAGACCGAAATTTCCTGAAATTTTGGTTGAACAGATCACACCCTATAAATTCATTTTTCACTAAGCGTTGTCCTCGGCGTTAATAACTACTTAATAATCGAGAGTGAGGTCGCTATGGGAAAATCTCAAACTAAGGCCTTGCCGTAGTGACCGAGCGATAGCGAGGTCAATACGGTAGGCCGAGGTTTGAGATTTTCCAGTAACGACCGAACGGTCGAGGTTATTAAGTTGTTCATTATATGGCTCATGAGAGGATACCTAAACTTCGAGCCAGGATCCGAGCCAGGATCCAATCCAGGATCCGAGCCAGAATTCGAGCAAGGATTCGAGCCAGGATTCGAGCCAGGATTCGAGCCAGGATTCGAGCCAGGATTCGAGCCGGGATTTGAGCTAAGATCCGAGCAGGATTAGTTAGGATAAGCCTCTTCTACGACATGTCACGTGACCTGGTTTCCTTGTTTGGGTTACCCCTTTTGTCTCGTCACAAGTCATGCAGAGTAACGCGTAGGAAGTGTTATATTCTGTTGTGCTGTTTGTGCAAGTGTTTTGCCACATACATTACACACGTACTGAAATCTGAAAATTTGAACATTTAAACTTATATTCCAGAAAGTTTGATGGCTAGTGCAGGGCTCAAAGAAACACCCGTCCTCTCATCTGGGACAACTACATTTTACTTTCGGGCAAGTAGCTTTGCCCCACGGACAAGAGACGGCCGGCAAACCATCCACCGACCAAATTTTTGATAACGATTTGTAAACAAGGAGTAAGTTTTAGGTATAATCAAGTGTTTGGACGAAGCTTGCCAAAAATAACAAATTATAGCGTTTGTTTGTTGATTGCGTTACGTGCAGTGGTTACCTAGCACGTGATCAAAATCTGCCCCTATGATGAATTAGTTACCTTCCACAATATATCGTATCTGTAGTATCGTCCAAACGCACCAAGTGCGTGTTCTTTTCCCGTAAACAGCCACAGAAAAGGGGCTGGATTGTTCAGTTCCTGACAAGTGTTCTGATTGACCAAAATTATGTCGCCGTAGTTGTGATCTTAATCACATTTAAATCAAGCACGGAAACAGATATCTTCGTTTCTCTACAATACATCGTATCAGTAAGACTTAGGAACATTTAAGTCGCCAATTATTTCTACCTGCATGACATTTTAATTTCCTTTCTTTCCGTGTCAGGAAATAAAATTTAGTTCCGAGAAGTTATTCTTGATGAACATGTTTACCTTGTGAATTACAAGCATTTCAGTACCCTGATAACATTCATACTCACTATGTCAATAAATCACTCTGAAACGGAAAACAGTACCATTTCTTTGCTGAACTAAACAAAACTAACTGCTTCCATCGGCTCAAAATATCGCTTTGGTGGACAAATCGCGTGGTGTGGCGGTGTCTCTACTTCGAAAATATATTTCTTTTTCACCATCACTATCAAGTCCAGTTCGCAGTTTTGTTGTGTAAGATAATACCGAGAAACGAGAGTTTCACTGAAATGTTGCAAATGACACATTTTGTTGCGATGCACTGAGTTTTGGTTGAAGTTTTGCCGCCGTATTTACATTAACAATTACGAACTTTACTCTGATTGGATATTACAAATCACTATGTAAATAGATCACCCCTGAAGTGAAAACAATACCGTTTCGTTTCTGAGGAAACGAAACAAAAACGACTTCTATATAAATTGTATTAAGGAAAAATCTCTAAAGCTTTAGCTATTCGGAATTAAATTTACTTTCTCTTTCTGTTTATAATCGGCATTCATCATTTCAATGCGCTTGAATTTTCCAGAGCCGGGCTCTTCCAAATTTGCATCATCCGTAATCGGCCCGTGGGCATTACGGCTGCATAATGACCGCTCAGATCTCACTCTTAGCCGATCAGAACGCGCGTTATATCGGCCACAAGCCAAAGCCATATAATGGGGACTTTAAGCAAATCGCTACGGCTGGCGCTGACACGACTGCCGGAAGTAAACTTTCCCCAGAATGAGACACTGCGCGTGTACGTCGGTTGCATCCAGCCGTAGCGTGAAACCTGACTACGTGAGTCGGGATGTTTTGCCGTAGTGGAAACAACGTCGGGTTTATTTCGCTTCTCTGGCCCTTTTCAAAGGACATCGGCATTTTAAGAATTCATTGGATACTATATCCTTTAAACTCAATTTAAGTCAAAGATTGTGTCAAGGTTGCCTCTCATACGCTTGTAAATCCGTATCCTGTATTTGCGATAGGTTGTGGCAAAGGTGTTGGAATGGCGAAGTGAGTCAAGTGAAATATTCGTGTTGAGCACCAGGTTGTTTTTTCTTCGGTTAAGTCTGCTTTTAGGGTTTAGTCAAGATGTTTTGTATCCGGATAACTATACGATGCTATTTTTGAGTATTGATATTTGTGTTCTTCTCTCGATATTCTTTGAGATATTTGTCTCTGAAATTATATATTTCATCCATCAAATTGTTATAGTACAAAGTGTATGGCATTCGCTTTCGCTCAGAAATAATCTGCATGTTCCTCCTAGGAAGGCGAATAACGGCCCTCGTCCTTTGAGCGAAGCCATTTGCCTGTAAGAAACTAAATAAAAGAGATTTTAGACTCCTTAGCCGATGTTTGTTTCATCTTTGCATTTCGCTTTGCTTGCTAAACTTAAAATTTGGCAAACCACCAAGACGTACTTTCCCCAGACCTTTTCAGTCACGGCAGCCGAAGTAGCACCAGCCGAAGCGATTTGCTTAAACTCCCTAATAATAATAAATAACGCTCCCTGAGCGCACTGTTAAGACTGCGTCCGATCATATCAGAGCTATTGTTTTGGAATTTACAAGCAAAGGGATAATGTATGCCCCCCCCCCCCTAAAAAACTTTAAAAAGCAAGGTGAAAGACAGCGTAAAACGGAAGGTGAACAAAATTAAAGGAAGGGCTTGTTTATTTTAATTAGGAGCTTCACGATTCCCGATGGTCGTAGTTTAGACGCATGAAATAGCACAAACAGCTCGTTCACAAAATCATAAACATTTTCCTTAATATTATAAATCGAAGGTAGAAACAACTCGAACATAAAAGACTTCATGCTACCCAGCTGGAGCATTTTCCATAGTTTGGGCATACGAGTTACGTATATATAATACATTCGATATGTTGCTTTGACTACCCATTTGAATGTTTGTGTTTGAAAATGCCAAAACATTTGTCTTCGGATAAAAAACAGCTTGCACTGAAATAAAAGAGCTACTTTTAAATTTCAGCAATTATTGCTTCTTAGATAGTCAAACGATTTGTTTTTTGTTTTTTTTGTTTTTTTCATTCAACGAGCCATGCATGCATCTGGGCATGTTTTCGGGACATGAATTAATGGGGAGAAGATTAGGAAATGTCACAAGAGTTAGCTGAAAAATATCGTTGCGTGACTCGCTAAACATATGTATTATGATGGTTCGTCTAATTAGGACGCAGCTGATGGATTCGATTTCAGAATGTCACGGAAAAATGTCGTTTAGTTTCGAGCTATCGAATGAGTTTTAATTTCCTGCATTTTAATTAACAAATAAAGAAGCCTAAGCCGTGTATTACACTGTGATAAAACACAACGGGCATTTGAGAACACGAGGGAAATGTAGAAAACATGAGCCGCAGGCGAGTGTTTTGTTTACTACAGTTCTGTGGTATTAACGGTTCACGGACTGAGCAGACTAAAATAATTTATGCAAGAGAGGAAGACAATCATCCAGCACACTAACATTACAAATTCGATGATAATAATACATGATATCTCACCTCACATTAACAACAAATGTTATAGGAAATAAACTGAGGGCATGGTAAAACCTACCTCCGCATTTCTCACCACTGCCAACTCCCGAGCGAACGAGAATGAAGCATGCTGTAAACATGATCGCTCGGCGGAGTTTTTGTTCATTCACCATCTTGTCCTGTGGTCCGAAAGACCGACGGCGCTTTCTCAAGAAATCCGTTCAGAATTATCAATTATTGTTCTACTAATAACTGTAGCACTTACACTAGTTATGTAACTGCCGTTAGTCGAATAATCGCTCTGTAAAGCGTTTCAGTACAACAGCTGCTCCAGACAGGATGTCGCGCTTCGTAATTCCGAGAAATGCAAGACCACGCTCCCAGGGTCACTGCAACTGGCCAATAAGACGCCGAGTTAACTTCCGGGAATTGTCTAGGCTCGATTACCAGCCGCTGTTCGGGAAAGGAGCCCGCGCTCCTCCCCCAAACTCACGGCAGGAGGAACGTAGACTGGACTCGAGAAAGCAGCGGAAATCGAGCCTAGGAATTGTCCAGTTTTCCTTCTTTCTTGTTTTTCTTTTTATGGTCTCCGCTGGAAACCTTTTGCTGTCGTTTGCGTTGGAGCGTAGCTGATTCTTTTACTGCTTGAACGTGTGACAACGGGGTTTTGTCTACGGGCGTGAGAGGACTATTAAACTGTCTAGAAACTTTTGTTTAGTTCAGTGGAGGCGGCGTGGCCTGGGCGCTGGATTTGTAATCCGGAGGTCCCGGGTTCAAATCCTCCTCCCTGCCACTATAGATGGATTTGTTTGGTGGTCCCAGATTCAATTCCTCCACGCTTTGTAAATAACCAACTGGTCAGCCTCCTGTCAGTTGGGATTTTTAACAAGTTTCTGATGAATTTACAATATTCGTTTGCCTATTTCAGTGTCCAAAATTAGTACAGTAGTGCTAAACACTTTGACACTTTAATAAAGGGATTTTTTTTGTTTGATCTACGTAAACAGACTAAACAGGCAATATTCAACGCGATTACCACACTTATTTATCCAAGCGAACACTGAAGTATATTTAAAGTACATCATTGTAAATACTGTTTAAACAAACTATTTTACAAATGAAAACTCCATGTGCTATTTGCACCCTTCCGATATAATATCCGTTGCAGACACCTAGCATGTTATCTATTTTAATTTTTTTTTTTTTTTTTTCTACGTTTCAGCTTTCAACCGCGAGGAAAAAGTCACATTTTCCGCATGAGAAGAAATATCAGAGTACCCAGCTTGCACAGTCGCTCTGATGGAAAACGACAGGCGCCTTCCTCTTTCCCAACTTATTTTGAAGCGACTCTGCTTGCATGGTAGAATATTTTGCGGAGCGGATCCCACGGGTACTCCTGCTGCGTGCAGGCTACAAAACAAGCTCGGTAGCCGGTTCCTTTCAGTATTTTACCCTATGGGGTTTCCTGCGTGTGTTTCGTGTTACAATATGGACACAATAGATTGTTTATTGACATTGATATGATTCACGTGACATTTGATCATAGTATGATTGGCATCACTTATATATTCAATACTCTCGATAGCTCGCTGAACGTGTAAGATCACGAAAGTAAGAGACCTGATTAAAAAGCACTTTCTATTGACTCCTGAAGAGCCGTTTGTACGTCTCCTGATAGTGGACAAAACCGAACGTGTTACATTTCGTAGTTCTGCACTGTTTCTACATGAGCAATAATCTTATAACAATATTTTCCATAGCGAGGTACTAAGCAGATTGAGTCATATGCAAACAGGCCGCGCATCTGTCTTCGTGGCAAGTCATTTTGTTCAAAAAATAACAAAAGTTGATTTACGTATGTAAATGATAGCCGAAGAACTATTACGCTCCTTCTTTAGTCAAAGCAAAACTGAAATGGTGACTAAGTATCTTCTTTCTTACACTAAATGTGCATCATCGCAGACTCGGAGAAATACTCATATATCGATTTGATTCGTTTAATCACAACTCTAAACCTAATAGGTATGTCCAAAGTGTGACGTCAATTAAGAACTCCTGACGGCAGGTTATAATGGGCAAAGACATGTTGACTATAGTCTACCAGCGGGTTGGTCCCCGTTTTTGTCTCTGAAATCTTCCCCGCGATTGTAAAAGTCATAATTATGGACAGAACTTCGTTTCTTTTGTTTCACGCTCGTGAATTAGCGATCGCGTTGCATGCTAAGAAAAGAAAGAGACCGCTCGCAGTCTATTTTGACTAGATATAAAGTGAGCATATTGTATATTTATAATACTCAAAGCGGGCAGAATTTAGTCTGCCCGATTTTATAACTTGCGGTCAAATCTTCCGAATGCGTAATTTATGAGATGATGATGCACGATTCCGACATTAAAATGCAAATGCCTTACATTTCCTGATGCTTTACACCGCGGGGTCCACTCTGAGCCGAAGGAATTTGAAAACGCAACTTTATTTTAGTCCTCTACACTAATCCGTCACGAAAACGGAGCTTTTCGAAAGCGCTCTTCAAACAGGAAACATTTGAAAACGCCGGCTTTTCGTTTCCGTGTGGACGGAAAACACTTTGCAAACGGAGCTTTTCGAAAACCTCACGATGGTCATTCCCTGACCGAGTTTCCCTCAAACACAAATCCAAAATGACTGGTGATTGTTGCGTTTTTAATTAAATTCCTCCGGCGTAGTGTGGTCGGAAAACTTTTGATGCATTTTCAGAGTGAAACCTTCGTTTTCAGATTCCTGAGGCGTAGTGTGGTCGGGGCCTTAGAATATAGAAGTCGATAACAGTCCTGTCATTTGAAAAGAGAAAGAGAACCAAACGCAAATCACAGAAAGAAATTCCCCATTGGCCCAGCACGCTCAATAAACAGGACACAGTATTGATCTGTACAACGTTGCCAACCTCGCTCCCAGCCTCTCTCTCTCTCTCTCTCTCCTCTGTCTCCCTTGACGTCAAGCGATGTACCGATCCTTCACGCCGGTTCTCAATGGAACAAAAGGTTGTTCCTAGACGCGTAACCCTGCCTCAAAAAGAAGATGACGAACATGTTGAACTCCCACGTGTTTATCGTAATCTTAAGAATTTTTAGAACTTGTATTGAGCGTTACATTTGCTAGCAATTTTTTTTTTTTTAATGTTTTATCACTAAGTTTTTCTTTATTGTACGTTCACTATAGTTTTTATTCGCATTTGTAACTGACGAAGGTCACTGAAGTGATCGAAACTTCTTAGGTTTGATCTCTTATCGTTTTGATATTATGCCTGACTACGACAACAGCATTTTCAATCACAAATTACAACGGCTGGCTTTGTTTGGTCGAATTTGGAATATGATATTGGCATAGGTAGCCGGTATGAAAGCGAGTGACCACTATGAGTGATATTTGAAAAATTCTTTCAAAATTGCACTTGCCTTTCACAAGAAATGTTAAACATTGATTGCTTTCACACCATCACTCATTTATTGTATAATCTAGCACTGCAATACCGCAAAGTTAAAAGTTGACGATAAATTGGACTCCTCTTAGCCAATCGGAATGAAGTTATTTCTTCGATCATATCATTAATAAGTCATATTTCTCGGTACTTCTCTTAGTGTACTTGTGAATGCTTTTTTCGCTTTTTGTCTTCCTTTGCTTTTGCGCATTTGCTCGTTAAGCTTAGCTTAACTCTTTCTTATCCTAAACTATGATCATTTTGTGTTCCGATGACAACATTTTTTTCTTGTTGTCTTGGGTATGTTTCAGGTAGTCCTTTACCAGGCGTTATTAGCTTCCCTGGGCTTCCTTTCCCTTTCGATTGATATTTTGTAGGTGTATTTAAAATTGCAAAAATAAAGCAAACAGTGTAAATAACAAGATCGAGAAAAAGAAAAGGGAAAAGGGAGGTAAAATTCAAGTTCATCAAGCGTCAAAGGCGTGAGCTCGGTCATTCTAAGACGGTTCGAACATGCTAAAGGGGTCCGTTATGCTAAGGAAGTTCGATCATGCTTAAGGGCTTCGGTCATCCTAAGGGGGTTTGGTCAAGATCGCGGACACGCATCAATTTAACTGCGAGTAATAACGTGTGACACGGAAGATGAAAAGTAGTTAGGTTTTAGTTATAACTTACTAGTAGTGATCTCTTGTATGTCTCAGTTTAATAACAACTATAAACAGTGAGCAAAGCACCTTATCATCACTAGCACCACGCTAGAGACTAACAGTATGCCGCGAAAACTATTGAGATTGGGAATAGTGACAGAAGCTAAGCTTGGTGCTAATATCAAAACGTCACTTCGATAAATGGTGGCATGGGACATTGTTTATACGCCTAATGAGTGTTGGTTTAGTTAGTCAGGGAGTATTTACTTGTAACATACGCGGATATTGTCGTATTTCTCACGCGTACCCACTGTCAAAGAGATGTGTCGATGACCTACAGTTCCCTCAGTAAGCATGATTATTCACTGTAATTGAGCTGCCGTGAAATATTTTCCTTCACTGACCCTTTTAGTTCAAAATTCAACCAAAAAGTTTCAACATTAACTGAAAGTATTCCGTCAGAATGTACTTATCTCTCCATGCCAAGGAGCACATAAGGATTTTAGATTCCCTTTCCACCCACCTCGATTTGCCACTAGAGCCCTGACCGTCGCTCATGACTGCTACCCAACTGCGCGCTTTCACGTCAAAATGTAGTTGCTGTAATCAGATAAGTATCGATCACACCATACCGTAAATCCTAGAATTAGCACCTCCCCTCAAATAAGCGCCCCTTCGAATAAGCGCCCCTCCTATCGGCCAAAATTTTAAGTAAGTGTCTCCCTTCGAATAAGCGCCCCTCCCCTCTCCTCCCCTGTTTTATGGAAGAGTACTGAGACAACAAGGGATGTATAGTTTTGTTCGTTTTCGACTCATTTCACTGCACATTGACCGCCCCAAAGGATGGTAGTGAAGATCTTCTCATTTAAGGCCTAAATCCCAACCAACCTTTTGCAGCAGGCCTAGACCGGCTAAAGGGATTATATTATGTAGCTCTTTAAGAAAGACAGGATCTTTCTGAAAAACGTCTGAGGGACTGACACATACATATATAACCAAAAAACGATCATCTGAACACGATTTGGGAAAAATTGAATAAGCCCCCCCTCGATTAAGCGCGTCCCTCGAATAAGCGCCCCCCGTAATGTCCTAAAGTTGAGATGACGAGGTTTCACGGTACTTGTTTCAAATATTCAAGATATCTTTTTTTAGCTTAGATCACTGTCAAGAAATTAAAAGATATAAGAAAAATAATGAGAATGAACAGAGCTAAAAAATCTCTTTTTTTCAATCAAGCCTTTCAGAATTAGTTCACGGCAGT